TTTGTTGGTATGTTATCTATGCAAGCATGGTACTGTGCTCCTCTGTTCACTAGTTGATAGCACTTATACGCTCACCACTTGTCTCCTTTCCTGTTTTCAGCCTTTTGTATATCCTTGCTGACCTTGGCAAAAAGAGCCCATTCTTAGCTCCATGGAATCCGAATGAGAATGCTATCACTTTAAAATCCAAAGTGGTTGCCACTTGTAAAGATTTAGAATGGCTGCTCCCTTTGTCACTTTAAATATCCAAAATGGCCTCCATTTGTAAAGTTTCAAAATAACTGCACCCTTGGTCACTTTAAATATCCAAAATATCCAAAATGGCTGCCACCTGTAAACAGTCAATCATAGCCTCGCCCTCCAGATGGCAGAAAGTTAACAGCTCTGGTTTTCTCCCTCCTTGCTGTTTCCCTTCCTAATCTCAGGCTACCAGCACAGTCGTTCTTGCAGCCCTTGGTGACCAGGGTTGATGTTTAGGTCAATTCTCAGGTCCCAACACCACTTGGTCCCATCAGAGTAGCTGACAGTCCACAGCTCTGTCTCTGTACTCACTGTTTTTGTTCAGGTTTTTCTACTAGTTGGTGCCTAATTCACTTCTGCATAGTTCATTTCAAAGCTCAGGGCTCCAGGATTATCTTCTGTATCTCTGTCAACTGGTTTTTCTTTGTCAAAGAGGGTCTGTGTCACTTGTCTGCCTATTCCTCCATCTTACCCTCTTTCCTGTCTTTTTAATGACCTTTTGTTTTTTTCATGGATGATGTTCTTGTTGTCATCCCACAATTCTTCTGGTTTTCCTTGATTGATGTTCAGTGCATCAAATCTATTCTTTAGATGGTCTCTGAATTCAAGAAGGGTATAATCAAAGTCGTATTTTGGCTCTTGTGGACTTATTTTAATTGTCTTCAGCTTCAAGTTCAACTTACTTATGAGCAATTGATGGTCTGTTCCACAATCAGCTCCTGGCCCTGTTTTGGTTGAAGATCCTGAGCTCTCCTGTCACCTCTTGGCACAGATGTAGTCATTCTAATTCCTGTGTACTCCATCTGGCAAAGTCCACGTGTATAGCCACCACTTGTGTTGTTGAAAAAAGGTATTTATAATGAATAGTCTGTTGGTCTTGTGAAATTCTGACATGCACTCTCCAGTGTTATTTCTGTCACCAGTGCCATATTTTCTAACTACTAGTGATTCTTCTTTGTTAACAACTTTTGCATTCCATTCACCAGTAATAATCAGCACATCTTGATTGCATGTTTGGTCAATTTCAGACTGCAGAAGTTGGTAAAAATCTTCAATTTTCTTATCGTTGGCTTTGGTGGTTGATATGTTAATTTCAATAATCGTAGTATTAACTGGTCTTCTTTATAGGTATATGGATATTATCCTATCACTGATAGCATTGTATTTCAGGATAGATCTAGAAACATTCTTTGTGATGATAAATGCCATGTCATTTCTCTTCAATTTGTCATTTTGGCATAGTAGATCATATGGTTGTCTGATTCAAAATGGCCAAAACCAGTCCATTTCACCTCACTGATTCCTAGGATATCGCTCTTTATGTGTTCCATTTCATTTTTGAGAACTTTGAATTTTCCTAGATTCATGCTTCGTACATTCCATGTTCCAATTATTAATGGATGTTTGCAGCTGTTTTTCCTCATTTTGAGTTGTGCCACTTCAGCAAGTGGAGGTCCTGAAAGCCTTGCTCTGTCTACTTCAGTATGGTTAGTTCTACTCTGAGGAGGCAGCTCTTCCCCAGTCATATCTTGAGTGCCTTCTGACCTGTGGGTCTCATCTTCTGGCACTATATCAGATAATGTTTTAGGGCTATCCATACTTTTTACCAGTAGTATATCAGACAATGTTTCACTGCTATTCATAAGGTTTTTACTGTCCAGTTATTTGAGAAGTAGATGGCCTCTTCCTTCTTGTGAGGGAAGACTAAGTCTGTCTTAGTCTGGAAGCTCTACTGAAACCTGTGCACCGTGGATAACCCTGCTGGCATTGAAACAGCAGTGGCATAGCCTTCAGCCTTGCAGCAACACGCAAGCCACCACAGTAGGACAAACTGACTGACAAGTTTGTCTCCCTAAGCTGTTCTAAACCACTCCTCTCACTTCCTGCTCTCTCTCAGGTGTTCAAACTGCTGCACTTACTTCTTGGTCTCCCTCAACTGCAGCAAACCCCACCACCATGGATTCAATAATTATTCATGCTTTATCCCACAGGAGACACAAAAATCTCATACTAATGATAGCTACTTTACCAATAGAAATAATAATTACTGAAAATAGGTTAATACTTCTTTATACTTCTTTTTCTCCTTAGGATATATCCCACTATATTATACAGTCAAATTCCTGCATACTGTAGTCACTTTAAATGCTTTCAAGTAGCCTTTCCCACTATATACAATTAGGTTCATTTACTTCAGTTTACTTTTGTGTAAAATGTTTCCATCATTCCAAAGATGATCCTGTTTCAATCCCTGTCCCCTTCACTGCATTCTCTTCTTTCCCTATATGTTGTTGTTATTTGCAGTTGATTCATGGTGACCCCATGTGTGTAGAATGTAACTGCTCCATAGGGTTTTCAAGCCTGTGACCTTTCAGAAGCACATTGCCAGTTGCAAAAAGGAACCGGGGGTGACATCTTACCTCCTCTTACTTCACAAGAGGAAGGCAGAATCACGATCAACAGTGCAAGGCTTATTCCTATGAGGCCAGACAACGCTGCCACCCTCCAGCCTTTTACTAATTCTGACACCAACCGTCCCTCCCATGGCACTCACTACTTCTCTGCTAGATTAGACAATTCATTTCAATGGCCACACAGAACTTGCAGGTAATACTCATGATTATGGGTTTTATTAGGAAAATAACAGGGTACAATTCAGGTTTAGGAACATGCTTAGGACATAATTCTTTGATCAGGACCATCTTCCCTCTACTGTGCCCTCAGGCATGTGTCTCTGGCTCTTGGCCTTTTGATCTGGCCTCTGCCCTGCTCTCGCAGATGTTACAAAGCTCTTTTAGCTCTGCTGATAGGTACACATAGGTGTATCCCACTCTGGTAGGAAGCCTCATGTCCAAGGGCATTCAGCTCTCTCACTCCATGGATCAGGTAAATCCGCTGCTCTATCTTGTGCCTCTTGGTTCCACTGGCGCTGTCTCTCTGTTGGGTGTCTTTCTGCAGGGGTGTCTCTGCCAGGGAGGTCCAGCTCAGGGGTCTCGGGTCCAAGGACACACTGTACTTGACCTCCAGCTCTTGTTTCTTGATGGCAGTGAGTTCCACTTTCTGCCTCTAGGAGGGCTCATTTTAAGCCTGGCAGAGTGACAAAACTAACCAATCCCAACTCAGAGTTCTACATGCCTTATTTGCATGGTCCCACCCAGTAATCTGGTAAGAACTACAAAGACTGTTGCTAAAAAAGCCATACCAAGTAATTTAATGCACTGCACCAGTCCTGTCTTCCAGGGTGCCTGTGTTAGAGTGGGTTCTCTAGAGAAACAAAGCCAGTAAAGCTTATATATGTAGAAAAGGGAAATTTATCTTAGGAAAATGGCTTATACACTTATAGAAGCTGGCAAGTCCAAAGTTCTTGGATCAGACATCAAGCTGGAGGCTTTTCCAACTCATGCAGCTGCAGGGGCTGAGGAGCTCAAGGCTGACAGGCAGTATACTGGCTGTTGACTCCAATGAATGACAAATCCAAGATCTCCAGGCCAAATGATGGATTGTTCGCTCACAGACAGTTGTAGGCAGCACAACAGAATCCCAATCCATAAACGAGTGTCTCTTTTCCCGGGATGTTCATAAATATACTGGAAACACGCCACAACCCTAGGGAAACTCCCTTTCAATGGATTGGCTGCTCAAAACATATACGTCTGATCCCATCATTGGAACAACCCACATCCCAATTGCTTAAACCATACAGAATTGTGGTCCAGCCAAGTTGACACACAGCTCCAACTATCATAGTGCCTCTGAGTGGGTTTCAATAGCCAGCCTTTCAGTTAGCTGTTGAGCACTTAACTGTGTTACCCAGTGATCTTCTCTGTAGGTAACTATTTTAAAAAGGATAACATGAATTATCCTTTTTGTTTTTAAATATAAGTTATATAAGTATGTGTATCATATGCTATATGAATGATCATATATACATGTAAGTTGTATAAATATATATCGTGTCATATGATATATGTTTGATCATATGACACATACTTAGGCAATTTATATTTAAATATAAAAAAGCTAATTCATAGTGACCTATGAGTTGGGGTTGACTGGACAACAGTGGGTTTTTGTCCCTTTTTTTTTCTTAAAGTATTGTATACTATATATACTTTTCTCCATCTTGCATTCTCTGCTTAACAATATAGCCTTGCAACCATTCCATAGCAATATATAGAGATCTTCCTTATTACTTTTTAAATGAGTAACACTCCATTGTGTGGATGTACAGTCATTTATTATAGAGAACTGTATAGACTTCTGTTTACTTCCTATTCTGCTGTTTTCTGGGAATTGCACTTTCCAAATGGATGTAGAAGGAAGATGGGAAGAAGAGGCAGTGCCCTCGCTGTTCTAGAAGTAGTACCTGGTTGTGACCAGTCCACTTTTCTCCATGGTTCTTACTTTGGTGGAGGGGTAAAGTGTCTTTCTTTAGGTAATTAGGTGAGTGTGGCTTCTTTTTTTCATGAGTTGAGCCCTCTGTGATTTCTGTCCTTTATACTGCTTTTGGGTTACAGTTAGAAATTCTTCCAGGTTTTGAAAAGATACTATTTTTCACTCGTAGTTTTTTGTTGGTGGCATTTATTTTGTATGTTTTATATTTATGAGAATTTAGGAGTGTTGTCAGGGATTGTTCTTCAGATGCCATTTAAAAACAAATTGCCATGTTAAAAGGTAAAGAAAACTTTTTTTTTTTTTTTTTTTAAGTACAGTGTTTTCTCTCCTAACAAATACTAAAATATTTCTGTTTCAGGGAAAAGGACTTGGATGCCAAGTTCATTATTCAAATGGAGAAAAGCAAAACAACAATCACAAACTTAAAGGCAAGTAATGACCTGGGCTTGCTTCAGTTCAGTGAGGCTCCTTGTTTGTTTTACTGAATTGAATGACTTATGAGTAAATAAATCATGTCTACCATTAACACAGGAGCTCTGGTAGCATAGTGCCTAAGGCACTTGACTGCTAACCAGAAGGCTGGCAGTTCAATTCCACCAGCCACTCCTCGAACGAAGGTTGCGCAGTCTACTTCAGTAGTGATGTTGCCTTGAAACCCAAGGAGGGGTCACTGTTGTGGTTACCTAGGGCCGCTCTGACAGGAATGGACCACAAATGGGATGGTCTTAACAAACAGGAGTTTATTCTTACAATTTGGAGGCTTTAAGTCCAAGTTCAGAGTGCCAGACTCTAGGGGATGGGTGAAAGCCCTTCAACCTTGGAGTCCAGCTCTGCCTCCTGCTCCAGGCCCACTGGAGCTAGAGGCATGTCTTTATTCAGACAGCTGCTGCGTGCTGAAAAGCCCCAAGGTTGACAAGTAAAAAGGCACAGTCCCGATGTACCAAACCACACGGCAGGCCATTAACCTAACTCCATTGTAAGTCCCAAGGTTGGCAGAGCATAGCAGGCTACTGAGCAATGACACAACTACATGCAGGGTCCAAGCATGCCATAAGCTAGAGACCATTCCCAAAGGCTTCTCCTTATATATAGGAAGCAGACCACATACCTAAAGGCAGGTAACCAGCTGCTTGTGGTAGATCCCACCATGGAGTTGATTGCCAGTCTCCTCAACCAGGCCCAGCCAAGTTGACACACAAACCGAACTACCACAGGTCACCATGAGTCAGATACGATTCGACAGCAGTGGGTTTGGTTTTTGGGTTACCATTTACACACTTCTTTCTCATTTCAGTTAGCCAAATCAACCTACTGTTGTTTTGGGCCTAGTCATGAAGCGAAAGGGTTGATGCTCTTTCTTTTCCCATCCCTGGTTTCATTTGATTGAGAAGCCAGACCCCAAGCTTTAGCTCTAGTATGTGAGCTCTCGGTTTAGCCTAATCCTAGTCATTTTTATTTTCTATCCAAATGGGATAGATCCTTAGCTTAGCTATTGACTATAGTCTGTGAATTATTAAAAAGCTTTGGCTCCATATTTGTTTTTAGGTTTAGTTATTGTGTTTTGTAAATTTTATAATAGGACCTGATATTATTATTCAAAATTTAGAGAATTAAAGAAAAAATTGAAAAATACTAAATTTGTTGATATAGCAAAGGCTTCCTCCTACAATTAAACTATCTCATATGTGGTTTTTTTTTTTTTTTTTTTGCTTAGCACCTTGAATTTTTTTCAGTTAGGTGAGTAAACAAGGGGTGAAATGAATAATAAATCATGAGATGCTCAGTCCTATTCTTCTTTGATATTTGTCATTACCTTATATATTTGGGTTTTTGAGGCCAGCTCCTTTTTGACCAAGTACTGATGAAGCTTCTGTCTACTTTTGAGGAGTAGATTTCTATTAATTCGTGGCTCAAGGGACTGGATAGTTTTAAATTCATTTACAGAGTACTACAGCTTGATCCCCAGTGATAGGAGCTGGGGAATGCTCTAGTCTTGTGCTCAGCATCATTTGATGGGCCTCTTCTGAGACTCTCTTGTCCCTTTACCTGAGACAATCTTCACTCATCACAATCCTTTGCACCATTGCAACTGGCCCACACTGAGCTTTCCCTCCTCAGACTTCCTTTATCTTCTAAGAATTCTACCCGCCTTTACTTGTCCATTTACTGCTGTTCTCTTATACTTATTTCATGCATCTTTGTATACTTAACAGTGCTTTGTTAAAAGTTTAATTTTAAAATATTGTACACTTACTCCTCACTTATTGACTGTCTTGTTTCCCATCTTTCACATTTTCGACAGTAGTAAAAATCTATTATCTGACTATTTTGTGCATTAATGATGTACGTCTGGCAATAACAGATGCCTAAGTTCAAGGTAAGCATAATCCTGGCTGTGATGGTTAAAGTTATGTGTCAACTTGGCTGGGCCTTGAGTCTCAGTGGTTTGGCAGTTAGGTAATGATGTCATCTGGCTGTTAGGTAATGATGTGGTCCTCTTCCATTTTGTGGTTATCTTACTTTTTTGCATAATACCAATTTTCTCATAACTACTTGGTCTTTCGAACCTGGCCATGTCTCTGAGTGAGGAGTGGGTGACAAAGTGAGGAGATTCCTGGACTTGGATGAGTCTCCTTTCTGCAATTTGGAATCTTTCCCTTGATTACTCTATCACTTTTTGAGTTTTACAGACGTTACCTTCTCTACCATTTGAGTAACCAGAACAGATGGCTAGACTTTTTAATATTTTTTAAGAACTTTTACAAATATTCTTCATAATATGTGAATCATGTCAGAAAATATTCCCATGGGGCCTGTGAAGTGCTTGACTCTGGCGGGCACTAGTCACACCATCATCTATGTGAATAACATCCCCTGGAGTTGTACAGATCCCAGTAGTGTTGATTCAGGTGGACGGAACAGTAAAAAGCATTGAAGTTGGAAAAACCAGAATGTGGTTGGAGTGTTGGGTTTATCTAAGACAGTCATGACAAAAAAATCAGAAAAGTAGCTCTGGGTCATATCCTAGAGTCTGGATTTCTGGGAGGAGTTTAGGTGTTATTTATCTAAGTTTTTTTTTTTTTAAATTTTTGGGAAGGTTATGGGGAGGGATTAAATGATTTTTAGTTGGGATATAAATATGAAAAATGGTTATCATTGTGTATATATATATATATTTTTTTTTTCCTAAATTGATTCACTTGTAAAATGGCAGGCTTCTTTACATTATTATTATTATTCTCATTATATTATTTTTACTATCATACATAATCATCTCTCTCTAGATACCAGAAGGAGGAACTGGGGACTCAGGAAGAGAACGGACCAAGACCTTCACCTATGACTTTTCTTTTTATTCCGCTGATATAAAAAGTCCAGATTATGTTTCACAAGAAATGGTATGATATCTTCAAAATCATTTTGATTTATTTTGCTAAAAAGGAAAACATACCTACTCTTAAATTCTTTGAATAATCTTACTAATTTTTGTATAAAGTTAGTCCTTGCCATTTAGCTTATTCGTTATAAAGTTGGCCTGTGCATGTATTTTAAACATTTGAAGAGCTCAGACCCCAAAACGTTGAGTTTTCTTTTTCTTAACTTCTAAGTATAATGATCATAACTTTTCTTTGGTTCAAAATTTGGACATGGCTACTGTTTTCTGTTTTGAAGGAGCCATGCAAATAAAACATTTTGGGAGGATGTGCATATATATGTTGTTACATCCAACAAATAAGCCATTTAGCTGTGAGTTCTTCTGCAATGCAAAGCTTTAGGAGGTAGACTTAAAATCCAAGTCATATTTCCCTTAATTTGCTAGACTTTGAAAAGAGTCCAGAATCCTTCTTTCCAAAAAACCAAAAACAAACCCACTGCCATTGAGTTGATTCTATCTCATAGCGACTGCCATTGGGTTTCCGAGGCAGTAGATCTTTTTATTTTCTTTCTTTTTCAAATTTTTATTAAGATTTGGTGAAAGTTTACAAAGCAAATTCATCTTCCATACAGCATTTCACATATACTTTGTCTCATGACATTGACTGCAGTCTCCCACAGTGTAACAACTCTCTGCCCATTTCCTCCCCATAGCCACCTCTTCCCTGTGTCCTTCCCTCCCATGCACTCCTGCCCTGCAAACTGTCTCCCTTTGCATACACAGTCCTTCTATTTATTCTCCCATGAGTGATCTCTCCAAGGTGTGTATCTATATAATGTAAATGTTCAGCTCATATGCCTGTCTTTTACTTGGCTGGAATGCACAGGAGTGGGTTCAATTCCAGACCTGAAGGGCAGCTAGGGGCCCTAGTATCTGGGGTTCCACCAGGCCTATCAGCCCAGCAAACCTGGTCCTTTTTTTTTTTTTTAATGATTTGAGTTTTATTCTACATCATTCTCCCACTCTAACCAGGATCTCTTATATAGATCCCCCTCCAAGTGGTTGACAGTGGTAGCCGGGCACCCTCCAGTCCACCTGGTCTCATAGTCATATAAGCTGAGGATTGTATGGTGTACTAGTCCCTTGTACTAACTGAGGCAGTAAATCTTTACAGAAGTAGATTGCCCAGTCTTCCTTCTGCAGAGTGGATGGTCGGGTTGGACTGCCAGCCTTCTGGTTAGCAGTCAAATGTCTTAGGCACTGTGCCACTGGAAAATTATGCTGGAATTTGTCCAAGAAACTGCCCTGTAGGCTTTTATGGTCTAAAACGTAAATATGATGTGGCAAATAAAAACCTACAAAAGAGTCTTCCCAGGAGGCCATAGAGATGTTGATGTTGACATTTCATGTGAGCTGAGGGATGAGTGTATTTCTCTGGATGGGAAAAGCTGGGTGTTTGAGCAGCGTGGGGTTTTATAGGAAACACTGGTGTTGGGGGAAGAACATGGACTTCATTGCCAGACCTTTTCCTGGCTTGTTAAAAGCTTCTCTGTGCCATTGCTTTAGGTCTTCATGTGTTAAAATAGGGTAAGAATTTCTATGCTGCCTACTTTAGGCTGGAATCCATGCAGTCAAATTCAAACTCACTGCTGTCGAGTCAGTTCTGACTCATAGCGACCCCTCCTTGCATTTCTGAGACAGTATCTCTATGGAAGGATATTGTCCAGTCTTCCTTCCAAGGAGTGGTTGGTGGTTTTGAACCGCCAGCCTTCTTGTTAGTAGTGAAATGTCTTAGGCATTATGCCACCAGAGCTCCTTCCATGCTGTAGCATCTTGAAAAATTGAACGTTTTTGTCTAATTTCTGACAACTGAAGAATATCCTTGGACCATCATCAGCAGCATTACCTGGGAGCTGGTTAGAAATAAAGACACTCAAGACTTATTCTAGACCTTCAGAATCAGAATCTGTATTTTAATAAGATCTCCAGGTGACTTGCATGTTCCTTGACATATGAAAAGCCCAGATGTGCTTGGTGTAGAAATAGTTTGTGGAGGAGGTTGGCTTGCTGAGGAAGTACAAATTTGGAGGTAAGATAGTCTGAACTTAGAGGAGGTGTTGAAAGGAGAGGACTAGAGTGACTGTGTGCAGGAAGTGTTAAGTCAAAAACTTCAGGGACAGATAGAAAGGAATAGCAGCAGTGGGAATGCAAACAGTGAAGAGATGAGATTCCTGGAGTTGGGAGAGGAAAGATGAACCAATGTTCCTTGTGAATTCTGCTTAGTGTTCATATGTGCCATCCTGTTTAATCTTCATAAGAACCAAATGAGATACTTTTCAGCTCCATTTTCCTTTGTTGAAGAAGCTCATAGAGATTAAGTAACTTGTCCAAGTTAATGTACCTAATAAGTAGCAGCTCTTGAAGCTTAGATATATAGTGGGATGCTACAGGAAAATCTTAAGGGTATGAGAGAAAAGGTGTGTCCTCTTCTAAATGACAGACGGAAAAGCAGCCTTGTTGAATGAAGGAATCAGTGAATGAGGTGAAGTGACTGGATTAGTCAACATTGGTAGCTAGGAGTCTCGTGAGGAGTAGAATTTTATAGATATTAGAATCCAGGTGTTGGTTTTCATAGGAGTAGGGATGAAGTTGTGGGCACTAGGGAGTTTGTTCAGGGAAAAACCAATTCACTGTAGCAGTTTTCAGAATGTCTTCAGGAGAGGATGAATGAAGAATTGAGAAGGTCTCCAATTCTAATTTGCCTAAGGAACAGCTGGATTTTTCCTCTGTTTAGCCTGAGTTTGAGGACTTTTAGAGACAGAGGTCTGAGCTAAGGGAAAGCCCAAAGATGGAGAAGTAGAGCATTGTATGACAGCGGGGCCTGGGGGATGCTGGAGATACTCCATTAAGGTTTGCTGATTGAATAGACTCATTTTCTGATGAAGGTTACTTTATGGGAAGAGATGACATTTCCTGAGTTCCAGAAGAGTCAAGATCAGGGAAGCAGAAAAAAATTTAGCTCTTCTGGGAATTAAAAATAAATGCCTAGAATTAAAAAGTATTTTTAGATTGTAAAAAACTTTAAATTGATGAGGGTAACTGTAACACTTTAGGTATATATGCACCATCTGTTCTCAGATGCTTTGGGGTCTTTGACTCTGTATAAATAACCTGAAATTGTTTCATTAAATCACAATTAGAAAAGCTCTGAGATATGTTAGTAAACACTGCTTTCTTGTAGAGTCATGTGTTAATGACACACACATACAGATCCACAAAAATGTCTATTTTTAAACATTCCATCATAGACATTAGGAGCTCTGGTAGCATAGTGCCTAAGGCACTTGACTGCTCACCAGAAGGCTGGCGGTTCAACTCCACCAGCCACTCCTCGGAAGGAAGGTTGGGCAATCTACTTCCGTAGCGATACTATGTCGGAAACCCAAGGAGGGGTCGCTATGAGTCGGGGCTGACTTGACGGCAGACAACAACAACAACAACAACAAATTATAGACATTAAAGAGGAAGTAATCTTTGCTCTCTCCTAATTTTAATACCCCTCAATAAAAAGAGCTTTAATTTTGAATTTTGACTATGTTTTCATGATGCCAAGTGTAAGTACAGGAGCTGACAGTTTGTATGTCATACTCTGGAAACTGGGGAAGATGCAGAGCTTTTAGCATGATGCTGGTCTTTTTCGTTGTTGTTGTTAATTATTTGAGTGTAAAGGAAATCGTGGGAAAATATATCATGCCTATAACTGTAGTTCTCAGAAGGAAGGCTGGGCAATCTACTTCCATAGTGATGCTGCCTCAGAAACCCAAGGAGGGATTGCTGAGTCAGATCTGACTCGATGGCAGTGAATTTGGTTTTTGGCTTTTGTAACTGTAGTTCAAGTCAAGTTTCCCTTAATATTAAACAAATACCAAGTAGATGACCATTCATATTTTTTCCTTCCATGTTAATTTTAGAATTAGAAAAAAGTTAATGAGCAAGTAAAATTCACACTTATGTAAATTGATGACCATTAAATAAAAGCTAATTTTTTAAAATGATTTTTCAAAAGTCTGTAAGGAGGCTTTGATCTCATACAACCAGGTCTTTAACTTAACCCTGGAGAAAATTAAAACCTAAGTCTCCCAGTTGGCAAGCTACAGGGGGAAGTTTTAGCTTTAACAGGGCCCTCTTATAGGCAGTTCTCTTCAAGTGAGGCCCTGGTGATTCTTTGGACTAATCAAGAGAATAATGTCTGTGGTCAGAGGAGCAACAAGGTGGATTTTAGATAACCAGGCCAGGTGAGGGATAGCAGCAGAGTGTGATGCCATTGAAGGAGAGGAGGTTGTCAGTCTCATAAAGCAGCCCTTCTCTTCCATCTTGGTTTGGTAGATGGCGCTGAAGTGAGTCGTGTAAGCCTCTCTTTGCTAATCAGCAAGCCTGTCTTCCTTGCCAAGAACTCTGGAGATGGGGGCAGTGTTGCATCTCTGGTTATTGGTGCTTGCCTACTTTGGGTGGGTTATTTGAAGCTAAGACTGGACCAGGCCTGGGTATCTACCCCTCCAGACCTGCATTTCTAGACATGTTTCTAGTCATCTCCATTAGTGCTAGCAAATCTGGAACCACTGAGTCTGTCAGAAAAGTCTGGCTGGGATAGTTTTCTGGGAAATAAAGTAATAATAAAATGATGGGGGTGATTTTAACCCCAGGGAAGAATTTCATTTTGAAAACCTTTGGATTTGGTTTAAATATGGTATCTTCTCTGACTTTGTTTTAGTCCTAGACAAAACTGGAATAGAAAATCCTTCTTCTGTTCTTTGAAAAGTTTATGGAAAGTTTTTCTTTCTATCCAGTGGCATGTCATGAAATGGTAAAAATATTATTTTCTTTTTTGGTTATTTAATTAGAAAAACTTGGGGAAATAGAGATTCTCTTAATATTTCATAAACTGGTAAATATTTCAAAATGAACATCAAAGTAGGGACCTGACATTTCTAGCTTCTACTTCTTAGCATAAAGTGATGATGA